TAATGAAAACCTCAGTGAAATATGTACAGTTGACCTTTGATCAAAAAGACTGTGGAAGTTCAGATCCATGATGTATTTTTGTATTTGACATGGGCATCAGATATTATTCCCTAAGTAGAACAATGTCAGTATTACATTTTAGAAATGTTATGAAGATAAATGTGACCTGCTTTGTCATGAAGAATTCCCTGAATTCATTCAGGGGACCTTAATTTCTTTAATCTGTGAGGAGGGCACAAAGATTCTTTGCAGATATACAGAATCTCACTTGTGCCTTCTGACACCCTTTTAGTTGAGAATTTTCAGTAGGCAACCATAGTGAGTTATAGGCTCTCCTACGCAACTATTTCTTTACAATAGGATTTTGTTAGGCAATACACTAGTGGAAGACCAGCTTAAGAAATGGGGTAGTTAAAAATGGGCATTTTTCTTATGTGCACCAAAGTACCTCTCCTTTCTGGATGCTGAAATATTTGTGGAAACCTTCCTCTATCAACTGAGATTGTCTTCTTCCATCTTCTCACAGGATAAAGGAGGCTCCTTCAAATTCAGAAGACCCTCATCCAAGTGGTGGGAAGTTGCAAACAGCATTGACAAAAAACAAAGACTAAATAATGCATCTGCGTGCATAGATAGGAGAGACATTTTCCCCGTACCAGCTTGCTTGTGTGGGATGAAAGCAGCTGTAATATGGTTACAGCCCTGAGTGATGGAAAGGCTGGGCAGAGGCTATATATTTGAATGCCTGGACACACAACTGCACCCACCCTGTGCAGTGGCTCATGTCTGCAGGCAAACCCAATGTCTTCAGATGTTGTTCCTCTTCTTCCTCCTCCTGGCTCATAAGAAAGCCTTAAATGACCCCATAAAGGGCAGGTCAGTTTGCAATTTAACATTGTCCTATTGCACACTGCTTCATATTTATTGGAAATTATGACAGATCAAGACTGCTAAAAACCAATCATTTCTTTTGGAAAGTTTGTGGAGCATCACTTAGGCATTGATTGCATGTACTGGACTTTGGAAAGTGCATTTCAGAGCATTTATAATGTGTTATGTAACACTGTCCAGACCTGCCAAACCTTTCAGCTTCGCATCATCACACAGCTTCGATTGGGAATTCCCACTCAGGTTATAAAACCTTTTTTTCTCTCATTGTGCAGCTATCCCAGACTCATTACGATCATTATCAAGATGCTCATGGAATCAAGCCATCAAGATAACAACAACAAAAAAAGGAAGACTGCCTGATTAAATGAAAGGAATAGTTCATGGGACTTTTTAAAATAGTGAATAGCTCCTAAGGTCTCAGATGAGTAACATATTCCACAAGGCAACAATTCTCTACGCATTTAATCAGCATATAACATCTGATACTTTACTAGCACTGGGTAGCATTACTCACTCTGTGAGGAATCCTTATTTCAGGGAGACAATTTGTAGAATTAAGATACTTCTCAGTTTGAGCAAGGATTGAAGAATTGGACCTTAAACAAGAGCAATGAGCTTTCATCTGGGGGTATTAATAGAATTATAATATAATTAATTGAATTAATAATTAATATAATATAAGTTGACATCTTGCATTGTCAACACAGAGAACAGTGCACAGAGAGCAGCTATCCCAATGTATAAGTAGCTAGAGGGTGATATGGGAAGGGTAGGTTCAGCATCACATGATGCAGGTTTTTTAATCCAGTCATTCCATGAGCATCCTACTAGGTTTCCAGCTGCTATTCAACTGCCTTGGTAACCTGTGAGCCAGCCATAGACTCATGGTTTGGGTCACTCAATGGCCCCAGCGGTGTAGCCCAGTCTCCAGGGCCTGGCATGGCCTCTGGTTATCTCCACCCATCCTCTGAGGCTGGTGGTTATTGGGGTACCCGGGGCGCATCCTCAGGGTTAGGCAGGTGTCCCAGGGACACAATCCAGTCATCCCTCAAATGGCAGGGCTGCCGTGCCTCTCTCTTGGGGAGGCCAAGGAGAGTGTCTGGCCTGCTCACTCATTGGGCTCAAACTGTGCTCTCTGCCCCTGCCCTTATAGTCCCATCCCCACCCTTCCACTTCCTGGGGGTGGGGGTGGGCATCTCTGGTCCTGCCTACCAGGAGAATTTATGGAGGGCTTCCCCTTTTGGGTCAGCAGGAGACCATGCTGAACCACTACATGGACCTTCTCCAATTTCTCCACATCTTTCTTGAAATGTAGTGTCCAGAACCAGACACAATACTCCAACTGAGGCCTGATCAGTGCAGAGTAGAAAGGAAGAATGACTTCTCCTGTCTTGCTCACAACACTCCTGTTAATGCATCCCAGAATCTTGTTTACTTTTTTTGCAACAATGTCACACTGTTAACTCATGTTTAATTTGTCATCCACTATGACCCCTGAATCCCTTTCAGCAGCACTCCTTCCTAGATAATCACTTCCCATTCTGTATTTGTGAAACAGATTGTTCCTTTCTAAGTGGAGTACTTTGCATTTGTCCTTATTAAATGTCATCCTGTTTACCTCAGACCATTTCTCTAGGTTGTCCAGATCATTTTGAATTTTGACCCTATCCTCTAAAGCAGTTGCAACCCCTCCTAGCTTCATATCATCTGCAAACTTAATAAGCGTACTCTCTATGCCGCCATCTAAATCATTGATGAAGCTATTGAACAGAACCCCACTTGTTATGCCCTTTCAGCATGATTGTGAACCATTAACAACTACTCTCTGAGTACGGTTGTCCAGCCAGTTATGCACCTACCTTATGGTAGCCCCATCTAGATTGCATTTTCTTAATTTATTGATAAGAAGGTCATGTCAGACTACCCTTAGTGTTACAATAAGAAGCCAACAAAGGTACATGGAAAGTGCGTAATTTAAGTTTGATGTAAACTGTCTGGGGGCAGTGACAGTCTGTTTAATATGTTTGTGAAGTACAAGGAACAAATGGGTCATGGAAGAATGAACACAGTATAAATGCTTATGAGGATTATAAATCCCTCAGATGGAGTTTTGTAGATTAAGACAATATATTTTCTAGCAATCCATAGTAATAAAGTTCCCAAAAAGCACAGAAAACGGAATAATTTCCTTTCCAACTGGGGTATTTCCATAGCAGGGGATAATACAAACCCTAGTGACATCAAGATGGGAATGTTCCATAACTATGGACATGTGATCAGAAACACTAAGGGTGTGTCTGGAACTACAGGTTTTTTTTGAAAAAAGTGGCCTTTTTTTAAAAAAATTCCCCTGCATCTAGACTGCTGCCGTGTTCTTTCAAAATTAACTCAAAAGAATATGGTGGTTTTTTGGACCACGGTAAACCTCCTTTTATGAAGAATAACACCTTTTTGCAAAAGTGCTCTTTCGAAAAATAGGCGCTATGTAATGCAAACAGGGGCTTTTTCGAAAGAGAGCATCCAGACTACCTGGGAATTCTCTTTTGAAAAAGTGGCTTGCTTTTTCAAAAGAAGTGGTTGCAGTATAGATGCTCTCTTTCGAAAGAGGCTTGTAGTCTAGACATAGACTAAATGGCAAGATAAAGAAAGAGTCACTAAATGATTATAGAAATTCAAAGCTAAAATAAATGTGAAGTGGCACAGCAGTGCTGAGATGACATGACAAGCGGAAGTGTTGGGAATCTAAACATGTATCTAAATGGACCAAAACTGTGGAAGGTAAACTTTTCTGAATTATACTAATGAGGTTAATCTCATCATTTATATGATGAAAGACTGTAATTAGCTTTCTAAAATGATCTTTGCAGAAGAGAAAAACATTGGGTTTTCCTTTGCGCCTGATGAAAGATATACACTGTTATTTCATGTGTGGTTTGGTGAACAACTTTTGATTACTACTTTCAGAAGGTTAATGTAGGATTATATTGGATTTATGTTTCTGGATTTGACCACTTTGTGCAAGGAATTCCAGAGTAACCCATTGCTACTAAGTGTAGAATATCTGCTGGGAACAAATAATTAGTTAATTAAAAGCAAATGTCCACATGATGTGCAGTACTTTCAACTTGAACTTTAAGAGTCATAAAATGGTTGCAATCACAATTTACCATCAGAGTTTCAGATTAAGATACTTGTATAATCCCTTTCCCTTGGAATTCACCAGATTTTGTTCAAGTATGAAATTCTCCATCTAACTCTGTGCACCCTGACAAATGCTCTGCACAGTTCCAACCTCAATCTCTGAGGTTGCTTACAAAACGATCGTTGTTTATAAAATGATCAACTTTGAGACCTTGACCCTCTTCCAGTGAAGAAAATAGCAATAATCCAATTGACTTTAATGATACCCTTTATTTCTCTGAAGCACATGGTCATGATTGTTCTTCAGTCTCCTATAGTCTCTTTGCTACTCTCACAGTCTCTGTGCCTAGACTCCTCCAGCTTTAGAACTTTCCCTCTACCCCAGATGCTCTGTGCCTAGACTCCTCCAGCTTTAGAACTTTTCCTCTGTAATTCTGTAATTTCTGAATGGAGACAGAGTAATTCTAAATGGCTGTTAAACTGATATCAGCTGTGGGTCTCTTTCTAATCTTCCTGCTAAATGTTGACTTTGCAACCCCATCTAATTGCACAGAAAATACACTCTAGCTCATTCATCCTTAAATTAACCGTTGTTTTAAATGAGCATAAAAATGGTTTGGAGTTTTTACAAGTCCATTAGATATCACCATTTGAGCATTTTAAATCTCAATATGCTCACATGCAAACGTTACTGAGAGCTATGTTATGAAAACAAAGCCAAAACTATTCTCAATCAAATGTTCACAGTTAAATGAGATTAATATGTACATTCTAGCACCTAATTGTGGGTATAGATTGGTTATCTGCATCTGCAGTCTCTCAGTTGGATGCACTAGTATCTCTTTACCCATTTTGAACATTTAATGGTACATACAAATTAAACATGTATTTGCACAGATAAAACCCTGGCTCCACTGAAGCCAAGAGTACAACTCTCACTGGTTTCAGTGGACCAGAATTTCACTTACAGTTTTGCTGGCTGATTTGTGATGTTCTGTTGCTATTAAAAAGTGCACTAGGCTTCCAAAGTCCTCTCAGTAACTGTCTGAACTGAGATTTAAGCCTGGAAAGGGAAGATGTAGACACAATAATCTTAGTTAATGCCCTAGGCAGTTAAAGTTCATCATAACCTCTATGAAACAGCTCATTTCTAGCAACATACTGTCAATACTCTCAGTAATTAGAAGTAAGTCAAACTACAAAGAGAAATGGGGAATAATAATCAGAACCTCTAGTTTCAGAATTAGTTTGACAAGAGTAAGGCTCTTTTGTGTTAAGATTACAGCAATCTCTTTAATAACCAGATTTCTATACATGAACAAAATACTTGGATATTATATTTCATTAGGAAACATTCCATCCCACACGTTTGTTTTCTTTTCTCTTTTTCAAACTCTGAGAAATACAGATAGAATATTTTACAGTCTGCAAAACCTTCAGGGACCCCTGGCACTGTTGCAATATATAAAATAATCATCATCAAACCAAGAAAAAAAATAGTAAGAGCACTAGAAATACCACTCTTATGATTTAGCCTGCAGTGAGTTTTGCACAGTACCAATATTAAGTTAGCCCAGTGACAATATCTGCAGAATTTCAAGTTGCAGTCTCGTGTTGTTTCTTTACTTTGTGGTTTGTTTAACTTTGCCAAATGGCCAATGCAATTCTATCACAGAGACATCACAAGAGTCCAGTATGCACAGAAATATGCAATTATTTGCCTCTTCTCATGTTGTTTAAGTAAGTCTGCTTATTGTGAAGCAATGAAGCCATATGGCTATAAACCATTCCTGAGTTCCTTTGAGTTCATTTACCCAAGCACAGTTAAAATATAATTTATTACTCAGTAGCCTGAAGTGAATAACTAACTGCCTACTCTGTTTTAGAATGTGACTCACCCAGGCTCACTTAATCCTATTTTAAAAAAACATGTCTGGTTATTTTATTTCCATATTTTTCTCTCTCCCTTTTGGACCAGAATTTCATTTGTAGCGGAAACTGTGTAGCTGCGTGCTGATGAAACTATGCTGATTTACACCAGCTGGCTATCTGACCAGGCCTGGTACCTGATTAAATTAATCTTGGAAATATTTCCAGGATAGTTGCAGAAGGCAGTGTTACAGATCCAGATCAGTAGGCTACAGTAGCTTGATAGAAGGTCCATATAATAGCCACTGGACAAACAGTTTTCTTTGCCCCAAGGGTACATCTATACTGCAGGGCTAAAGTCAAATTAAACTACACAACTTCAGCTATGTCAATTGCGTAGCTTAAGTCAAAGTTGCTCAATTCAGATTTTGGCACTGTCTACACAGCATGAAGTCGAAAGAAGAACACTCTTCCTTCGACTTCCCTTACTCCTCGTGGAATGAGGGTTACCATGAGTCAGAGTAAGAAGTCCACCAGCTTGACATTATTTCTAAATAAAGGTTTGTAGCATAGACACGCACTATGGGTTGGTCTACACAGCACTCTTACCTCAAAATAAGCTACACAATTTGCACCACACATATTTCAAGGTTATTTCTACACAGCACCAAATCTTGAAATAAAGTGCTATTCTGACAAGTCCCTTAACCCTCATGAAACGAGGATTACAGGGATGCCGGAGTCGCATGCCCATTATTTCATAATATATTTCAAAATAACAAGCGAGTTTAAAGATGCAGAATTGCTATTTTGGAATACTTCCGATATCCCAAAATAGCTCCACTGTCTAGACGTAGCCTATGTTATTTCTGAATAATATTAGTTATTCCAAAATAATGCTGTTGTGTAGATGTACCCCGAGTGACCAAGGCAAAGAGGGCTGCTGTACAGCAAGCAGATTAAGCCAATTAAGAGCTGGTGAAATGCAAGAGAGAGACATGCTAATCAGAACACCAGTGGTCCAATAAAGTCCTGCAGCAACTAGTTTAAAAGGCTTCCTTTCAGGGAGTGTCTGGAACCAAAGGATGGGGAGTGAAGAGGTGCTGAGGAAACGTGGAAGGACCTTGAGGTACCAGGAGAAAGATACTGGGAGGAATAGGTTGAGGAAGTGACTCAAGGAAAAGCTGCAGCTCTGGTGGTGGAGGAATCACTACCTGCTGTCATTGCCTTTTAGGGTCCCTGGGATGGAACTTGGAGCAGAAGATGGGCCCAGTGCCCCCCCAACTCTTCCTGCACCACTACAGAGACTAGCCCTGAAGGGTGAGCATGGGACTAAAGAGAAGTACACATCAAACCTGTTTGACTGGCCTATGATGAAGGTGGCTGAATTATGTTATGCCTCTCTCCAGGAAAGGAAAAGAGGCTACCTTTGTAATGAAAAATTGTCAACTACAATATTTTCCAGTCTTTTTTAGAATTTTATTATGGAATATACCTACTGTTTTTCCTGTCAATAGAAATTTCATTTGTTCAGAAAGGCTTCACACCATTATAAGTTCAACTAGGGAGGCTAATGAGGGCGACCAAAATTGCAAATGAAGCATGGGATTTAAATATCCCATGCTTCATTAGCATGTTCCCGGGCGGTCACTATTTTGGAAACTGACTAGCCCGGAATAACTGCCCGCGTCTACACGCGGCAGTGAAATGGGAGTTCAAAGTAAACACCTAACTCGAATTAGCTGTTAAACCTCATTCCATGAGGAGTGTGAACACGGGCAGTTATTCCGGGCTAAGTCAGTTTCCAAAATGGTGACCACCCGGGAACATGCTAATGAAGCATGGGATATTTAAATCCCATGCTTCATTTGCAATTTTGGTCGCCCTCATTAGCCTCCCTAGTTGAACTTATAATGGTGTGAAGCCTTTCTGAACAAATGAAATTTCTATTGACAGGAAAAACAGTAGGTATATTCCATAATAAAATTCTAAAAAAGACTGGAAAATATTGTAGTTGACAATTTTTCATTACAATTTTTTATTTTTCTTAAATACAAGAAACTAGGCTATATGTGCGGCTGGAGAGACCTGCTCTTTTTCCTTTTATCTCTCTTTTCCCAGTGCAAGAAAATGTGGAGGAGTCTAAAGTGAAAGACACGGGATGTTTTTTTTCCCACAGAAATGAAGGAAAAGCTCTGGGAAAAACTTGAAATATATAATCTAATTTTTTGTTGTTGAAACGCATACTGAAAAGAAACACCTTTCTATGGGGGGAAATTTTGGAACTAAAGTGGGGTGTACCCCAAAACTATTTGATTTGCCTATGGTGAAAGTGGCTCAATAGTGAAGTTGACAAACTTTAAATTTCAAACTTAAACAGAACCATCACATTTTAGATACATTTTCTTTCATGCATAGTGAGTTCTATCCGGAGTAACTCCACGTAAGTGAATGGAGAGGAAAATCAACCCCATCAATTTTAAATACAGATTATCTGTCAGAGCCTCAGCTGGTGTAAATCAATGTAGCTCCACTGACTAAAAGGTCTTTCCATTTTAATGGAGGTAAGTTGATTTACAACAGATGAAGACCTGACCTTGTATATGGGCTTGCTCACTAAGACTTAATACATCAAACAATTCAGGAAATTATATTCCTGTCTAACATAGTACAGACGTGACTCAAAGTCCAATTGGTTACAATAAGGATGACCAAGTGCACAACCCTTTGTACAATTCAGTTCTTGGTCTTGTCTGGTTCTAAGTTAATTTGGGAGAAATGATGGCATAAATATTTAGAAAACTTAGTTTAGTACCAAGAGAATTCCAGACCAGGAAGGGTAGGGGCTGTCCTGAATATCAATTCTCTGCTCTTATGCACAGCCAGTGACAACTGGATGTAAGTGACTAGAAGAGGTTGAACTTCTTTAGTCCGGCACCTGACTTGTTCCAAACCTGAGAATTTGCCGAACACGGAAGGTCAATATTGTTCAGCTGCATTACCAGCACTTCCATTCCTTACTGGGCTGTTAGAGGACATTGATGGGTAAATTAGAGCTAAATAGCAGCACAGGACACTGAGAGCCAGGACAGGTGCCTGTAAACAAACTTTACGGGACTGTGGGAAACTTGGCCACACCCATGAAAAATGAAAATCCAGATAACTAAAATCATTTGGAACCCCAGATATTGCCAGACTAGAGAGGTTCAATCTGTATTAAGAGAAGAGTTGTGAGAATATACAAGATATATCCTGTCTTGTGCATTACATGGCAGAAGTAAAAATAGGAAACCAAAGGTCTTGCTGCTTTCAGTAGCTCCAATATTTAGTGTTGTTACTGTGATAGACAAAACTAGGCTTCAATAATGCATTGTGAAGCCTCCATGGCAGAGTCCATGTTCTGTTTAGACCTCATTAATATGTAGTTCACTGATTTCCATGCTTCACAATCTGTACCAAAAGATCTGCTCAGCAATCCCCACCTCTCAGACCTTTAACTACTAGAGGCTCCAATATCATTTCCAGAGATCAAATATTTTAATAAATAATTTGCAGAACATTCGCTAGTGTATTGTGGAGTTCCATTGTAATCAATAGAAAATGAACATCAGAGTAAGGATATTCCTAGGTCTGTTATCTTCATCTGCATACTTGCTAATACACAAAAGGCCTCTCCATCCTTGCTACAAACTAGTGAGGTTCTATTATTTTTAATGAAGAGGTCCATGGTAATTTGAGGGATTGGTCATTAAACTGGAAAATATTTAAAACAATCCCTTTTAATACAGAGGGATTGCTCTCACTATTTCTCCAGGAGTGCAAGGTGGCAAAAGAGAGCACATCCATCTCCCACTGCAATAGCCAACAGAACTGCCTGGTCACATAGGGTATATGACTACACAGCAAGGCGAAAGCCGAATTAAGCTACGAAACTTCAGCTACATCAGTTGCAAAGCTGAAGTTGAAATAGCTTAATTTGTCTGTTGGCGCTGTCTACACAGCAGGAAGTCAAAGGAAGAACACTCTTCCTTCAACTTCCCTTACCATACAATAAGGGTTACAGGAGTCAGAGTAAGAAGTCCTCCAGCTCGACATTATCTCGAAATAAAGGCTTTCAATGTAGATGCACACTTATACCAAAATAATGCTGCTATGTAGACGTACCCATAGAAGGCAAGTAGCAAGCTTCAAAGGAGTGCAGTACCAGGTATGTGGCCAGGGCCGGACAGAGGCATGGGTGAGCCAGGCAGCTGCCCAGGGCACCAACCGATGGGGGGTGCCTGATGGCAGCTGTAAGTGGCACGCGGTGTCCCTTACAGTTGCCATCAGGCGCTGTGCGCCCAGCTCCTGCAGCACCAGCCCGCCCGCATCCCCGCGGAGCCAGCCAGCAGCGCTCTTCCCCCCATGGCTGC